ATTCTGTGCACAGTGATCCGCTTGACTCAAGGGTATCTCATCCATAGATACCTTGGAGAGGGCACTTAGATCCAATAGCAACGTACTAGTCCATTGTGCTAGACATCTCTGTCTCTAAGACAAAACAAATACATTTAAGAATGAATTTGAAATTGAATAAACACCCTTAAAGTGTATATATACGAATTGAAGAGCTATTGGGTATATGATTTTCAAAAATGATGAACTCAAAGAATCAAATAATCATGAACATGTAACTATGAGGTTAAGTGCAACGAAATCTTTTAATAAAGGCTCAATATAGAATCAAATAGTGTCCAATATTGGTTGGAGGCGTAATCAATGAATATATATAAGTTCCCAACAAATAAAATAATCGTTATTAGTCATTAGAATGCTTAGTAACTAGTATGTTATCAAATTCCTCCATTCTGGGAAGAAGGTAATCAAATTATTTTCAAAAAGTATTTGAATCCAATTAGTTCCAAGGAAGAATTTGAATATTTGTCAAGAAAGAATCTGTATATACTTTCTTGACAGAAGCTAATTATGTAATTTTTTCAAGTCAATTTTGATCCTAATGGCTTCTAACCATCCTATGTGCAAGTTCTTTGGGAAAATATTTCTAAATTCTAAAACATGTAAAAAAACATTTTTTCATGATCATTTTCAAGAATCATATGCCGTACATTATGCATTTTGAAAAACACATTTTTTAAGCCCACTAATGCAATTCAACATATACCCTTATATATAAATCTAAGTCCTATAGGTATATTTCTCTAAGGGTCTTGGACTTCGCTTCTTGTATTAATTTTTGAATCTTGATTTCTCTTTTGACTTTGATGCTTGACTTGTTGGATATATAACTTTTGTGAGATTAAATTTTTTTGAAAGGTTGTACAATGGTATGTTGCCATTGATTTTGATTTCTTCTTCTTCTTTTTTCTTATTGCTCTTGATCCATTTATTTTTTTTAAATTAATTGTTGCCTCTTTTATCATAAAAAATTACATCTTTTTATATACACTCTCGAATTTCAAATTTCTCATAGCAATTTGTCAAATCACGTTGAATTATGTTATCTTTATCTATGGTAATTTTATAATTTTATTATTATCGAAGTATAAAATATAATATATATCTTTCTTTAATATTCGAAACACAACACTATGGCTTTGTTTGAGAGTTTGAAGGGGAAGGGAAGGAAGGACATTCAAAGAAGAGGGAGGGGAAGGAAATTGAAGGGTATTCCCTTCCCTTGTTTGGGAGTTAAAAAAATGAAAAGGGAGGAAAATAGAGGGTTAATGATTTTTTACCATTTTACCCCATTTTTAAAATAAATATAATTAATATATTTTACAAATTAAATTAAATTTAAAATTTCTAACAAAAATATTTATGTACTTTTCAATGTACTAAAAAAGATCATATTTTCGACGAAATTTCTACGTTGCAAACGATTAAAATTTCGTCACAAAATTATGTTTTCGCCAGAATACTTTTCGTCGAAAAGCAATGAAATTTTTTCTCCGATAAAAATTTTCACAAAAATAAATTTCTATAAAAAATTTTGACGAAATTTAGTGTTCGTCAAAAATTTTGACAAAAATGATTTCCTCCATTAAATGTTTTAAACGAAAAAAGAATTTCGTCAAAAATTTTGACAAAATGTTTTCCGTTCAAAATTTCGATGAAAATGTGTTATGATAAAAATTTTGACGGAAATTGTTTTGTCACAAATTTTGAGGGAAATGTTTCATTCGAAACTTTCGATGAAATTTAGATTATGTAAAGAATTTTGACATAATATTTTTTTTGGCAAAATTTTGTATCGAAATATTTGTTGTCAAAATTTTCGATAGAATTTTTTTTTTCGAAAAGTTTAACGAAAAATTTTTCTTCAAAATCTTTCGACAAAATATAAATTCTATACAGAATTTTGATAAAAAAAATTCCCGTCAAATTTTTTTGATGGAAATGTGTTTCGTTGAAAATTTTGATGGAAATATGATTTTTTGTGAAATATTTTGACAAAATTTTGATTCCATAAAGAATTTTGACAAAAAAAAATTTCTGTCAAAATTTTTAACAGAAATGTTTTAGTCACAAATTTTGAAGGAAACAATTTTCGTTGAAAATTTTTGAGAAAAAATTTGATGGAAATGTTTTCTGCAAAAAAATTTGACGTAATTTATTTTACGTCGAAACTTTTCGATGGATATGTGTTTCATCAAAATTTTGGACGAAAATATTTTCGTTGAAAGTTTTGACGGAATTTAGATTCTATCAATAATTTTGACTGAATTTTTTTCCGTAAAAAATTTGTGTCTATGATTATGTCAAAATCTAGTTCCGTCTCTAATTTTGTCGAAATTTTTTTGACATCAATTTCATCAAAAATTTCATCACTATTTTTGACGAAATATTTTTCGCCGGTAAATTCTTTCGATATTTGAGACTTTTCTAATAATGTCACATTTAAAAATGATTAACATTTATGTAATTTTCACGTTTTAATGCTAAGGGTAGATAAATAATTTTTAATATTTGTCTCTTCAAACTCCCAAATTGGGGGAATTTTAATTTTAAGAAGAAGAAGAGTTTTGGAGGGTTTATTAAAAATCTTCAATTTCTTCCTCTCATTTTTTTAAACTCACAAACAAGAAAATAGCTTTCTAAAACCCTTTCTTTCCTTTTCTTCCCCTCCTAAAATCAACTCTCAAACAAAGCCTAAAGCACCAAATGAGAGCGCAACCTCTCAGAAAACTAGTAACATATTCCCATAGCATCTATGCACCAATTAAGTGTATTTTTTTTTTTGGGTAGAAACATGCACCCAGTGTTTTGTTTGCAGCAATGTGTTGCCCAACATTATCAAACACTATTAGGCATTCTCTACTTCAAATAGTGGAATCTCCATTTTGGTAAGCAGCACAGCTCCGGAATCGGATGATTTGATACCAAGGAACCCATGTAACTTATTACACAGAAGTGGAGATAATCCCATCAACAAGGGTAGGGTCATAGATACGTACACATAAGAATATGATAAGATACAACATTTCTTAAAGGATTTAATTGCTGACCTCCCTTCCCAAACCAAATCCAATTCTTGCGGAACCTTTCTTTTCACGATCACCATCACATTTTTGTGAGGCGGGTTCAGGGGGAAGCCCGTGGCGGAGGGCCACTACCAATGAGCTAAGGCTACATCAACTGTAGCAAGTGGATCCGACACCATGTCTCAACCCAAAACTTTAAGGCATTGGGTTCATGTGTCTTTTCACTTATATACTCTTCACTTAGCCCATTACCAACCAATGTGTGACTCATCACACTTGAATATCCCACAACAATCTCCCCCTCAAGTCCATTACCAACCAATGTGGGACTTATCACACTTGAATATCCCACAACAATCTCCCCCTCAAGTGTGAAACCCACCATTGGTATGCTCCCCCTCAACCGAGTACTCCAAGCGCAAAGTACTCGACCTGCCTCCTAGCCAATCACTAGGCTAGCTCGAGCCCAACCCGACTCTGATACCAATGTCAGGCGGGTCCAGGGGGAAGCCCGTGGCGGGGGGCCACCACCAATGAGCTAAGGCTACACCAACCGTAGCAAGTGAATCCGACACCATGTCTCAATCCAAAACTTTAAGACATTGGGTTCATGAGTCCTTCCACTTATATATTCTTCACTTAGCACATTACCAACCAATGTGGGACTCATCACACTTGAATATCCCACAACAATTTTATCTCCCTCTGGAAATGGCTCTCTCACTCTTTCCATGCCTTCTTGACTTCTTCTCTATAAGAGTTTTATATAATTTTATGTCTCAATTTTTCTATAAATGAAGAAAAAAAAAATTGAACAACGTGTGTGGAAGTGGAACTGGTCGAATGGAATTCTATTTCTTTTTTTCTTCTATCTAATTATAATTTTGCGAAATGAAAATATTCTAATATTTAACATGCAGAAGATGGAAATAGTTTATGTCTTTTCCCCAATAATTTTAAATGATGCAAAGAAAGAACTTCTGGACTTCTGTTTTTTTTACTATTATCAAATTTTGTGGTGCCTCTCGATCCTACTCACCATTGATTATGGGAATTTTACTTTAGAAGCTAGAGTATTTAAAACAACTCAAAATGTACTGCTTGGTATATTCTTCCTTTTAAACAAAGAAGAGAGAGAAAATTTATGTGATATTATTTTATTTTATTCTTTTTGGAGATTTCTCCATCGATTCATTTATTACTTGACTAATCTTGTTGAGCCGAAAGGAATTATAAATGTGACAATTTTTCTTACCAAATTTTTAATATAATCATATATTAAGACTTGAACTTAAGACAATTGGTTAAACTGAAGTAACCACGTGTCAGTTGATCCATGATTAAGATTGAATTTATATTCATATATAACACTTAGCAGCACGTCTATGTGATTGGAAGACACAGTATAACGATGAAACCTTAATAAAATCATAGCTCTGTTTACCTGTGGATAGAAGCAATTCCGATTTCCGGATAGATACAAAACTAGTTTCTGATTTTTATCCAAAGAGTATTACCAAAACCGCATGCAAAGAAATAGATTGTTACGTGCAAGAGAGACATGAGCCTAATTAATTTTCTGTAATTCTGGTCACTCTCACACCCCCTTATAGTACATTTATTTGTCCATTCTTCTTCGTCTTTCAAAAATAGTAAATATTCCGTGACATATTTTATCTAACTTGAATAAAAAAAATTATATTCTATTTACCAAAAAAAAAAAATATATTATATTCTCTTCTTCAATGATAGCATAACCGCCACGGCTTTTAGATTAACTACTTAATATTAATTTAATTTTAACAAAAAAATAAATAAATATCCAATAATTCTATCACATCTAACCCACTGGATAGGATTTTTCTCTCGATCTCATGTCTAGTTGTCTACCAAATAATCTTAAACTTATTCTCCAAATTCCCTATCCCAATTTCATAAAAAAAATGGTCGATGTTCTGAGCCCCTTCACAATCACACCCCCTCCTCCACCCTCTTTCTCATCAAGCAAGAACACTAGTATGCCCATGTTATACTATGGCCTAGTTGTGGTTGGAACAACAGCAATAGTGCTAACCCTATACAACCTCATCATCATCAAACGTTGCAACAGGCGCCACACGCAGTCACAAGATACAGGACCACATGGGTTAGTTGAAGGGGTCCCTCAAAATAGAAGCTTTGAAAACCCACAAAGGAACTTGCTCTCAAGCTTCAAATACAAGAAAGAGTTGGTGGTAGCGAAAGAAGAAGATCAAGAAGAGCAAAGAGGTGATGGTGATGATTATGAATGCCCAGTTTGCTTATCAGTTTATGAAGAAGGGGAAGAGGTGAGGAAGCTACCACGGTGCAAGCACTCTTTTCATGCTATTTGTATAGACATGTGGCTTTACTCTCACTTTGATTGCCCAATTTGTAGAACACCCGTTGGGCCTTTCTTTCACCCTTTTCCGGCAGATAATTATCGTCATGTGTTGATGGAATCCGGTGGCATCTCTGTTTGAGGTTTAGAAATGTGTGGGGCCAGTTGCCTGATTGAGGGGACAATGAGCCAAGCACAACTTGAACGCCACGACATACATTAGGTTCTTTAGTCCTTTGGAGGATTAAGTTGGATGACAATTTTTTTACCAATTTGCTTATTATTTGGAGCACTTTATTTGATACAACACAGGGAGATACTAGTCTCATGTCATAGAAAACTAGTATATCATGTCATAGACACAAAATATGTAGAGCTCATTCTTTTAAAATAAATAAATAAATAGACCCCACATGCTTTGTGTCTATGGCATGAAGTAACTAGTTTCCTACCACATGAGACTAGTATTCTCCTACAATATATATGTGTAAAGCAATATTTTTTTTTAGAAATGAATATATTTTTAATATAATTCATTTAATTATATATATAGAACATGATCAACTTACATCAATACAAGAATAAAAGTCTTTTATTCAATCTAAATCGTTGACTTACGTGCATATAATTGTTATAATTTATTTGCGATTAATAATCAATTAATAAATACAACTTAATAAATTATAACCGTCAAATATATGTAGATCAACCATTAAAATTGAGTGTAAGACTTATTAATTTTATACGAATATAAGTTTATTTTATTCCAAAAAAAGCGCAGGTTGTTCTTAGACAGGCGTAAAAAAAAAGTTGTATACTTAGTCTAAGTGATTGATCCATTTGTATCTCATGTTTCACATAACTAAAAAAACTAGATTAATTAAATATAAGTTAAATTAATAATTAAAATTAAAAATATGACTTACGTATATATAAAATGATCCTAACTGTGTTAAGTATAGATTAATCTATAATTAATTTGAAAATTCAGTGAATAACTTGAACCAAGTTGAAGATTCAGCCTTTCCTTAATTTGCTTTTTAAAGGGGTGGCCGGCGTCTTCCAGCTAGACCATTCAATTTGGTCCGCATGTGTCCACATCTTTCAACTTTCTTCTTTAAGTTCTTTTATCGGTTTCTATCTATTATTGTTAGTACGAGCCACTAATTGAGGTATCAATTAAGGTGACACTATTTGGTGCAATAATTTTTATCAAAATAAGCTTAATTTTAAAATGGATGAATAAGAATATGTTTACTATTAAATGTTAGTGAATTAAATTTATAATACACTTTAAATTAAATTTTTTTAAAAAAACATTTTTATTTATTCACTTTATGAACTAAGTTTTTTTTTTCTTTTTCGGATACACTTTATGAACAAGTTCAATTCTAAAGGCTTTTATCATTTTACTATGAAACCGTTGAATTCCATTTGACGAAATGAAAGAGACAATTTGAGATGCGGTAAAACAGCATATGGGAAATGGAGATATTGTTTGTATAACATCTTCTTCTTTTGGATAAATCACAGTCCACGTATATCCTTTATGGGAGATAATCTTGTTTGGAACATGTCCAAAATTAAGATTTTAAATCACTTTCAAAGATGATACTGGAAACGATTGAATAAATGCTTTCATTTTCATCTGCTCAACTCTCATACATCAACTTGGTTACCATCGTTTTGATTGTTTGTATAGCATCTTTAACTTCAATTCCGGTCTAATCCGAATAGAATGTTCCGCATGTAACATAAATGACGTAACATGGTAAAACGAGAAAAAGAAATAGACCCTCGCAACTTTTCTTTTTTCTTTTGGAATTTACTAGGAAAAAGAAAGGTATGCTTTTCGAATGCTTTCTAGTTTTATATATACATCATGAATTTAGAACACATTGTCGGGTTTAATTTATTATAAAATAAAATAAAAAGTACGTGTTTCTTTAGTTTACAGTGAATTTGAAGTTGGGTTTTTTGGCATGGTAGCTACCGAGGCTTTTGGGCGGTAACTAGCTAATCACTGCATATCACCATCACCTTAATTAGTGGTACCTAAGTTCTTATCTATAAGGAACCCTACAATGAGAGTTTCATATTAATTATGCCAGATTGTTCGACAACAATAATTCGAATCAAAATTATTGTTCATCCAGATTCCATAACTGTTGCATAGGATGACACCGGTGCCACTTCCTTTGGTTTGGTTTAGATGAAGCACATGCAATCGATGTAGACAGTCTAAGCTCTCTTTTCGTAAGCGGCGAATAATAGTTGACTCCACTATGAAGTGGGATATAGCTTGAACCTTGATCACTTTGCGAGGTTGGTAGGAAATGTCGAACTCTAAAAGACCAAGCAATCAAGCGGCAGCGACCTTGGTTTTGTATAGAATTTCATTCGTGAACATATGTGTGTATCTAATCATAGAATATGGCTGTGTTTGCATTTTCAATGCTTGTGTAGGCAAGATGCTCTTCCGTGTATTCTAGTGTAACTTATGTAGCACAAACTTTTCAAAAAAATTGAAGTGTTGGTGTCTGATACACTCCGAATGGTATCCGACACGTCGTTAACATTCCAGACACATTAATTGACCCGACACACGAATTTAATCATGTCCGACACGATTAAATAACATTATTATAATAAAATTGAAGGTATATCATCAGAAATGCAGAAGCGCATCGTACCGATGTGATGAAGGATAAAGACACCGCTTTGATTACCTGGGATGAAGCAGCGAGCGTGACAATTTCTCACGTTCAGTTCTCCTCCTCAAGCCTCACGATCTGTAGCAACGCACCACGAACGGTCGCAATTCCGCTCTACAGTTGATCATCCAGGCTATGACTCAAGGGGATCAGGGAGTCGTGTGGGCAACCATTCAGATGATGAACGTCTGCCTCTTTGATGTGTTTCTGATGTCTGTAACCCTAGGAGGCATAAGGGAGAAAAGAGTGTTTATATACTCTGCCCAATCTAAAACTAACCCTAAGCTTCATGGGTTAAAATTGGACTTTAGGCTCACTCTCACTAAAGCTATTGGGCTTAAGTGAAAAGAGCATACTAAACCCAACAATCTCCCACTTGCTCTTTTGGACACAAACTTGAGTTCATAAACCCAAGACTATGTAGCCCATAAGCCATCATCATCTGATTATACAACCTATCCCTTGTCTCAAGCTAGCCTGTGGATCTACCATTTGTCACTCATCAAGGATCCTGATAATCTTTGAAAGATTATCTAATTCGGCGCTACTCCACTAAAAGCCCGAACGTGAACTCCAAGATTAATGACCTTTATAACATGAATATGCATTGCCCCTTTACAGAATGTCTATAATTGATTGATTAATTTTCTGTAACCCAGTCAATTATTTATTCACTTGACTATGATAGTTTCTCTAATGGATTAATTGCACTGGCCAGTGTCTTTAATATCCAAGTACTGAAACATATCAAGAGGATATTTCCTATAAACTCCTTGTTGTTTATTTCATAAATACCGATAATCAAATAATCTCACTCCCAAAATATCGAGTTATTGGCCGTCAATAGATCGAACCTCACCCGTTGGTAAATCAAAGAATGAAAACTATTTGATTACCTATTTATAATAAACTCAGGATTAAGAGCAATCACTTAACTATAGTTAACTGGACATTTGATACCTTATGACAGAAAAACAACCTTAATCAAATCTCTCCTTGATCCTTTCAATGTGAATGTTAATTCACACCAATATTTTACAATGATTCGGACAAAACTATTTCATAAAATATTGCAGCATAAATAAAGTGCCCAACTTTATTTAACGGCTGTGAATCCATTCATCAATTGTGAGAACCTATGATCATGTCCTCCATGAACGTGTCCATATGATCATATGCTCCACAATTTGATCCGGACCTTGATGTTTGTAAATAGTGTGCAAAATAAATAAATAAAACCTTATTTATGAAATTCAGAAAATGATTTCATTGTTTCATCGTCTTATACTCCAAGAGCACAATGAAAACAATAACTCTCACTTGCTTAATACAAGTCTGGGATCCTCCTAAGATCCAAAGAAGTAACATGCCTCTTGAACACAAGTTCAGGCAAACTCTTAGTAACTGGGTCTACAAGATCCACCTCCATTCCTAACCTAATTGAGTAAAACTCATAGCTCGAGGTTGATTTTCTTGAGTCAATATACACTTGAAATAACTGAATTTGTGAAAACTCAGCTTTTCAAGACTCTCACTAGAATATACCAGCATATAATCTCTCGTTCTCCAAAGATACTTGAGTACATGCTTAACAATAATCTAGTATTCCTCTAGGTTCAAAATGGTATCGTCTCACTACTCCCACTTCGTGACAGATTTCTGGTTTAACGCCCAACATGATATGCATGGGTCTACCTTTTCCAAAGCATAAGATATCCTGCTCATGCATTCTTCCTTCTTATGAGTCTTTGGTTACTCTTTAGGAAGATGAATTTCACATCTGAGAATTTATAATTCTTCTCTTATAATTCTCATGTTGAATTTTGGCAAGAGTTTTGTCAATGTAAGTATTCTGAGGTGATGCCAACAACTTATTCTTTCGGTCTCATAAGAGTTTAAAACCAAGAATATATTTGGCTTCTCCAGTACTTCCATACCAAAACACTAACTTAGCCAACTCTTTATGCTTGATTTTACCTCCACGTTGTTTCTAATAAGGAGCATATCATCTACATAAAGTACCAGAAAAACTATTGTCTTATGTTGGATCCTTTACATACAAATACACATCATTCATCAAGTTTCTCTCAAAATCAAAATTTTGATAACCTGATCAAAACTGTTGTTCCAAGACCTGGAAGCTTGCTTAATTCTATGAAATAGACTTTCAGAACTTGCATACCATGTGTTCCTACCCATTTGCTATAAACCTTTTTGGTTGTTGTATCTAGATATCCTGACATCCAACTCCCAAAATGAAATATCATAATTGAGACTTATAGCAACTAAGAGAATCTGGATAGACTCAAGCATGGCGTCTGGCAAAAATTTCCTCCAAGCTAGCTTTTAAGGTTTTCACCTTCCTGTCCATCATCTCTTTGCCTTTTATGTCCACATGCACCTTGTGCGTTTTACCCCTCTTGGTGTCTTTACTAGGACCGAACGGAGTTAAAATACGAGTATTTCATCTCATTATTCATAGCTTGAGCAACACTTGATCAACAAAATCTTCTAGTGCATTATCGTAACTATTAGGATCAATGTCACTCAACAAGAGACAACTTTAAAGTTAACAAGGTTCTCTCCGACTATGAATGTACTACACTAGACCTTGTGTATTTATAGGTAAAACAAAGAGTGGGTCAAATGGTGGATCTTCAATTTCTTGAGGATCTGCTTATTCTTGATA